CCCCTGGTCATACTACTCTAGCCTTTCCTCCCAGATGTGATTTTGGTAGAATTCGATTCTTTGCTACTGTAGCCAGAAACTCCTTGAATACGTTGAACTGGATAGAGTAAGGAATAATAGCTATGCTTCATGGTTTCTGACTTTTTCTCTTTTCAGAACATCAGAAGGCGCATCATGGATACTGGGTAAGTGACTTTTTACCGTAATTTAATTGTGTGGTTTTTGCAATTTCCAAATTTGTGTCCCACCTGATGATCATTTTCAACTGCTATTCGTTACTTGAAAATAAAAGCTTGTAATTATTTCAGGAGACGATTCAGTACGGTGACACAACTCGATCCAGAAACCCTGGAGACGGTGAAGAAAAGATGTAGGTTTTGACTATTTGAGCTCCCAAGTTGATTACATTACCACTTAACAACTGTGGCGCAGAATTGCGTAGGGTTACGGTAACCCGAGTTTGCCCAAAAGTCCATCAAAGTAAAGAAATGCACATGCTTCGGGTCTGCACCATTACTTCGATTTTTGGCTGAGGGGCGCCAAAAAGCTACCGTAAGCTGGAAAGACGAGAATTTCCGCCTAGGCATATGGGAAAGGGACTCCGCGCCGGCAATCAGTCCGAGCAAAGTGCAAATGGGGTTCTCATTTTTTGAGAGATAGGCTCATCCACCCTGGGGCTCCTTCTGCCTAGGATCCGGCGAGAATCTCCTCTCCATGAGCTGTCTTGGACCTTCTGTGATTGAAGGTCCACCGCCCACACACTCTCCGCTTTCCATTCCCTTGCGTTGAAAGCTTTTAGGATCCCTTATGATAGTTGTTCTTTCTGAATTCACCATGTCGCCCTAAATTTGTCTCAGTGCAACTATTTGAAGCAACAATTCAGAAAAACAGTTGTGCCTACAGTAATCCAAATACGAGACTATAAGTTTTATGTCATCCGACTTCAAGAAAAAAAGAATGCGTGCCTCAGCGCGACATTGACGACGAAGGCACGAGAGATCATGGGGATCAAGGAGATGCAGACATCAGCTCGGTATCATTTGCATGGCGTGAGTAGCTGATGGGTTGGGAATTGCAAGCGGTACAAACCCAACCAATAGTTTAGGAGCTAAAAAATAACCCAGTTTGTTTGCTTGCTGACCAGCCTAGTTCACAAGAGAACGAGACTTTGCCATCCAAGCGACGGCGGAATGCGCCTTCAACTAGTGGTGGCTGTTGATAAGGAAGGTTAAATCCTAACCCAATTTATATGCAATCGCTATCGGAACGTATACGTGTGTCCCTGGATTTGGCTTTTGGCTGTACATATGTGCATCGATTTTATTAGTCGATAAATCCGCCGCCCTCGCCGACACAGTACTATGGCAGGTATTGATGTTCATAAAACAACACAGTGCCAACTAGTTGAGTATGGGCTGCCCCTGCCCTCCCAAATGGAACCAGCCTCCACCACGATGGCTAAAAAACGTGGCTTAAATCAGAGCGTATTGAGTTATTTCACTTCGACCTGTATTGTGGACTCCTTACACGAATATAGAAAATACGGTAGATGTGAAGGCAGCGAAATTTTCGAAGAAAAGGATAAACGCATCTCACTGGTTGACTCAGAAGGCGATCTACAATTGATACTTCCATTTTTCGCACAGAAGTCAGAAGGAGCAGGCGGTATTTGCAAGGCCCAGGATAAATTGCCCGGTTTTTGGTGGATGTTAAATGCATGGCGCAGTCTTAGAGGGGTTAATCTCTGCATTTTCCGCAGCGAATGGCAGTGACACTAAACATCGACACGGCCTGTTTACAATCTTCCTTATCAGACCTTCAATACCCCAAGCAGTCAGGGATCGAAAGCTTTTTTGGCGTGGGCAGGATTCAATCTCATCGGCTTTGCAAACGAGATGCGAAACTCTTAGCTACTGCGCCAACCACACCCAATTAATCTAGAAGTCTGAAATTATCCCAGCATTTCGAGAGCACGAAAATATACAACATATTTATAGCTGGAGGACTGGACTCCGTCGACGAGGAACCGCCTGAAGAACGCAGAACGTCGCGAAAATTCACCGCCACTCTAGGACATCTGGCATTGTACAAGCCGACAGGAGAAGAGGATGGACAACCGGCGTCGTTTATTTCTGGCTACACCACCCCTGGTCCGAAAGAACGTGCTACCAGCCATCACAAAAAGGTAACTTATGCAGAATATTCCAATTTATTGGAAGGACTTACATAAGTTAACCATAGGGCCAAAGGGCAGAGACACAGAGGAGTTCTAGATTTTGAGCCGGTTGCTCTGCTTCTCTGCGCTCTGAGCGACTCGAGAACTTTTGGTTATGTGTATGGGAGAATACATATATCGTTCTGATTGGACAAAAGTTATTTTACTCTTTCATTTTATTTCAATTTCGGGTAATTAGCTGCTGTAGGCGTTACTTATACATATGATTATATAAGTCATTATTTATACGTATAAATTAATACTTACAGCTGCCAAATAAAATCAGTAACCTCACCTCACAAACCTCGCTCCTCCTGGCGAAAAGTTTCGCTCCAGAAGGGACTCAAAGCTACATCCCTCGTTCAAAATAAAATTAGAGAATACAAAGTAAAATCAAAGAATGGCGTGATTAGCCACTCCCTCGTCCACAAGATAATGCAAAAAATACCGCTAGAAACGTTCACCTTCTTACCAAGCAAAGTCTCAAAGCTATTTTGCTTGCAGGCCAATCTCGGTGTACTGCTCGGCGTCTACCTGCCGACAATTCAGCACATTCTCGGTGTCACGATGTTCATTCGACTTTTCTGGGTTGTCGGAATGGCTGGTCTGTACTGGACGATGGTGCTGTTGGCGATATGTTGCCTTTGCGTAAGTTGCCCGAAACGTTTACCCTATTGCGGGCCACCTCAATGTATGCCGGAAAAGTAGAGTTTTGTTGTATATTTTATATGTTACCAATAATCTAGCAGTAATCGGCATCATACCTAGCAGTATCAGTTCAAAAATATATGACACCTTCTGCGCGCGGAAAAGCTTATTGGAGACTTTGATGCTCAGAAAGATGACATGCACATGCCCTTTATGAATTACCAATACCAAGATATCAGCTCTCGCGACAATCGCTAGCCCTAATCTGTATCCGAAAGCATGGCGCATTTTTGGCCATGCTGTTACCTATTCTGCTTCCCCTGTTTAATAACGAGCATTTTAGACGCTTCTCACCTCCATCTCCCTCTCAGCAGTGGCCACGAATGGAGTTGTCGAAAGCGGTGGTGCGTATTTCATCATCAGGTCAGTTATTGTTCGAACCGCCTGAAATATTCTCTAATGAGGTTTTATTCAACGACATGTTCGGGTTGTAGGACCGTTTTGCTGAAAGTTCTCCAAAGACTCGTAACAGTCGCTAAGCAGGTTTCAGCGGGCATTTCAGAGTCACCACGAACCCCTTATGGGAAAGATTACCATATCCTTCTCGCGGCTCTTTCTATACTTCCCCAGATAGTCCTACTTTTCAGCCTAATTTCACTTAAAAGCCCGTCTAGCGGTAAAATCGTAGGGAATGGAGCGCCCGTTATGATGGCAACAAGTAATGAATTACTTGAAGATCTTCCAAAAAATGTTCTTTCCTCTCCAAAAACTTTCTCTACTTATTAGTTCAAGTCGGAAAAATTCACTAGATGAGCATTCCATCTAAAACTTACTTGTTTTGTGCTTGTTTGCTTGTCTACTGTTTGCTTGTTTACTTATTTATTTTAGTCGCAATTTGGGAGCAGAATTTGGCTCAGCGGTAGGCATTTTATTCTATCTGGCCAACACCGTCGCCGCCTCCATGTACATCGTCGGAGGTGTTGAAGTGCTTCTGGTGAAGACATACTAGCTATATGATAGTAAAGGATGATAGTGCTACCAGCGCAGAACGATCCTTGGGATAAGCCATGCATAACACTTCTATGCAGAATCGTGGTGGCATTTGAATGCGTCACTACCTATGAAGTCACGTTCAGAGACCAGCCAGTGTATACATCTCAATCCTCCCAGACAAGTCTGATACCAATTTACCTACCTGTGCGGAAGGGCAGCAAGGTTAACCATCGCGACCGCACTTTTCCAAAAATTTGCGACCCACCTCCCCCCCCCCTGCGGCCCCTTTAGGGGTCTCGATGCGTCCCACCGCCACCACCAGCCTTGGGAGACTCCTCAATATGACATCCTTCCTCCCTACCTCGATAACCACCCTCATTATCATGGTTGTCTCTAGGCAAACCACTAATGTTGCCTACCTACCCTAATTCCATGGGAACCTTTGCCAAACTCGCCGAAAAAACCGTCAAATACAATCCCCATTCACCTTCCCGGGGATAGTTAATTTGCTCAACTCCCAAGTTCGAATCTCACCCTTTACAAGATTGTAAATAACGCCCCTTCCTCCAGTAGTACGAACGGGCGATTGACCCTGGAGGGGGCTCGGGGCCTTGAACCGTCTAGGGTCCATGAT